ACAATTCTGACTTTTTTTCTCACAATTGCGTGATATAAAGTCAGAATCGCGTGATATAAAGTCAGAATTGTGGGATATAAAGTCGCAATTGCGTGTTATAAAGTCAGATTTGTGAGATATAAACTATTCTGAGGGGAAAAAAGTTTGTCTTTTCCCCCCCTTAGAATTGGCCTGATAACTCGCAATTGCAAGTTTATATCTCACAATTCTGAGAAAAGATGTCAGAAGTTCGAGATATAAACTCGCAATTGTGAGAAAAAAAGTCAGAATTGTGAGATAAAAAGTCTCAATTCTGTCTTTTTTTCTCCCAATTGCGACTTCATTTCTCATAATTGCGACTTTATATCTCGCAATTGCGACTTTATTTCTCACAATTCTGACTTCATAAAAAAAAAAGTCTTAATTATTTTTAATTAAATACAAGCTTCCATACTTTCCCCACCAGTGTTTAAAAAAAAAAAAAGTTTCCCAGAAAGCGCATTAAATGGCCAGGTGTAAACAGCCTTTGATGAATCAATTTAAAGCAAAGAGTGGTTTCTCACCGGCCTTCAGCATGTCAATGCTCTGCAGGTTTGGAGGCATGTGTTTCAGAGCCACGGCTTGGAGATAAACCTCGGTGTTGGCCAGATACCTAAACAAACATCACAGAAGTTCTGGGAATTATAGGACAAACACGCAGTGACAAAAATCCCACACAACATTATATTCTGTCTTCAAGACCAGTTAAACTCCATGGACAGCATCTGGTAGTGCTAAACCACAAGTTGATATGGAAGATAGAAAGGATTCAGAGCTAACTCACTCTTTAGCGAAGGCAAACTCTTCAGGAGAGAGAAACGAAGGATCTCCATCCGCACGCGACTTTTCTTTCTCCAATACATGAGGGAAAAACTTCTCTATCTGCAGATGAGACAACAACCATATGTATATACAAGTACGGAAATGCAGAATCCAGTCATAAAAACAATCCATCTACTGCATGTCAGGGTTTCCGTTGTCCGGTAATCACCAGACATTGGCCGGGAAAAAAATGAAATGTCGACAAAATTAAATTTCTCCGGTCAAATTGTCCGATTAAAATTGCGTAATAATCCCGCCCCCCTAACACAATATGAATTTGAGAATAAGCCTAAAGTGTATAAAGCAAAAATACACCGACCTTTGGCTATGTTATAAAGGAACAGGCTCTACCGTTTGAAAGTTATTAAACAACATCGCATGCTGCATTTCAAATAACGCGCACGCCTAGAACAGCTGTAATATAGACCTAAACAACGAACGATTGAGTGACACGTTTCAATTATGGCCAGGCAGGCTAGCCTTAAAAGCTTTTTTCAGTGGCCAGACGCGACGGACGATGGTGAATCAGGAACATCTCATTATATAGATCAGTGGTTCTAATCCGCGCAGTCGTAGGCTACAGTTTTTTTTTTCTCTCATCAAAACTGAAGAGCCTATGTTCATCAGTGGTTACATCCTATATCAAGCAGGGACACGCTTGTGTGCATTTTATTTTGTGATTTCACCGGAATGAATAGAGAGTCTCCGCAACGGCGATAGATTGAAACGCGCGTCCGAGTGAAGATTGCACAACTCGCGCAGCGCGTCGTCCATGCAACTGATAGCAGCGGACACGAGCGCTCAGCTTGATTTCAAAAACAACTGATTTTAGAGCTAGATCTCTTATTTAATAGCGAACTAAATGAATGATCTGCTAGTTAACTGGAGATGTTTTATGTATTTGTATTAGGTACATCCATGCCTCAATGCTTCAAAAAGTGAATGTGTGTGAAACCATAGTAAAAAACAATTGGTGTTGATTGACGCCAATCGGACGTTCATGTTTTTTTCCGTCTATTTGAAAGTTAGGCTAATAATAATAACATGTTGCATTCTATACAGCCTGATTATGTCATTTTTTAAGTTATATAGCCTGCCTCCAGTTTTCCTCAACTTGACTAATTAAGAGGCGATATTTGACCGGCATATCATCAAAATGTCCGTAAAACTAAACCATTTTTTTTTCTAGCGGAAACTCTGATGAGGATTGTGGAATGTCACAGATTTTGGCAAATTTTGGATGAGTAGATCAAAGTTTGCTCTGAGAGTTTCACCATTTCTTTGAGAAAAACTATCATCATATCACACACGCACAGAAACTAACACGAATTATTATAATTTTTCCATGTTTTAATTTTAACCTGTAAACCTCTGTTGTGCAGCACTCCGTTGGAGAAAACATAAAAGGAATTGTTTTCATTTGATTACATTTTAAAAGATTAATTAAATTGTTAATGTTTTATGCCTTCATTTGATTCCCACCGTTTATGTCTAGGAAATTATAAACACAAAATAAAACGTTTCATAGTTCCCTGTTATTATAAAAGAAATTACTAAATTAAACTTTTATTAATTTAATAGATTACTAAAATTTAATTGAACCATTTAAACAGAGTGCTGAAAAAAAAAACAGAACCCAGAAAAATACAAATGGGAAAAAAAAATCAAACAGGGGGGGGGGGGGGCATAAACAGGGGGGGCATAAAACCGACTTATAGTGCCCTATAAACTGTGCAAATTTATGTCCACATGAAGCGGTTTGTTAAAGTACTGTAACCGCCCAGAACTTGGTTACTGTGGTTTTTAAGGGTAATGCCACTACCTTGCACTAGGGGGCTCTATGTTGCATTCCTCTTGGGTATAGCCAGGTAAGAGGAGAGAAGAAGTTAGTTTACCCAACTACTCAGAGTCCTGATTGAGAAACTGTGGTTTCAAGCTCAGTCAAAACTAATTGTGGAATGTCACAGATTTCGAATCGGTCGAAAAAAAGCCGACGAGGACCAATTTCAGCCGACGGTGTGGAACACACTGAGAAAACTTAGTCGGCCGACGCACAAAAACTGCCCGACCGTCGGCTTGGTGTGTCCCAGGCTTAAAGCTGCCGTCGGCAACATTTTTTTGATCATATTCAGTGAAATCGACACTATAATCCGACAGAACAACATAAATAAAGTGGTTTTAGAAAAAAACCTGAGCTTCTAACTCCACCTGGAGCGTGTTATTTGTTTTGCAAAAATCCACAGCTCCCGGTTCATCATGTCCAATCAGCGCAGGGGGGTGTGAGATCTGACTGTCAATCACAGATCGGGCACACGCCACCCCTCGCGCACGTTACAATCACATGCACACGCCTGAAGTTCGCGGAAGTTCGCGCAGTAAAGAAGAGTGATGGCGGAAAATCAAGTAAGCTCATTTAGAGTATAAATGACGTTAGCAATTGCAATCTATCAGTAGATTAGCCAGGACAGCATACCTCCAAATACTCCACGGTGTTGATGGATGCTGATGAGGCGGGCGCGTTCACTGTAAACCTGGTGCACACACACTGACGAGCATGAACTCGGTGGGAGGGTATCCGTTTATAGTGGGGGAGGGGCATGAGAGTTGTAAACATTCAAAATTTTCCTAAATCCACTCAATCTGCCAGACTTGCCGACTGCAGCTTTAAGAGAGGGAATTGGGACGCAGCATCATTCTGAACACTGAATGTTTCTTAAGCAACGAGAGCTTCTAACGCAGCTATAGTGACGCGATGACTTTATCTATCAGCGATTGGTTCTCCTTTACTTAGAAGGCGGGGCTTATTTCACAATATTGCGCGTTGCACTTTGTCTCATTCATAGTGATTCACGAGTGCACCGTCTGTTTCTATCTAAAGTCGTTGTTTCTGGGCTGGTAACTGAAAGGTTCTGGGCTCAAACCCTCCAGCTCTTTAACTATCTTCACTACTGTGTGCTTGAGCAAGACACGTGTTCTCAGGTTACTCCAGATATTATGTATAATATGTTTACTGTAAGTCATTTAGAATAATTGCAACAGATAAACGGCTGACTCTGAAGTAATAGGATACCTTCTGGAGCCTTGAGCGCAGAAAGCTGCTCAGAACGAAGCGGATGCGCTCGATCTCCATGCGATGGACACTGGCTTTCACATCACCTTTCCTCACCCTCTGGAGATTTTCCTCCTGCATACACAAGTATAAAGGCTACATTTCATGCTATACTTCATCTAAAACTATTTTAAAGGTGCAGTAAGTGATTTCTGAGAAGCACTGTTGATATGTGAAATCAACTCAACAAACAAATGCCACTCCCTTCATTACTCCGCCCGCAAAATGCACAAACACACAATGCAAGAGTGAAAGATCTTCAAGTGCAAGAGCTTCAGTCTCTCCAGCACTGGAAAGCTTTCTAATATTAACGTGAGTCCTAAAGCTCTTGCCTGATCATTTGTACAAATTGTACAATTAAAATAAAAAAAATAAAAATAAATCTTTTAATTTAACTCTACTTTTTCCAGTGTTATTCGTCTGAACATTTCTCTTTTGTTTCTCTCAGCCATCTCTCTTTCTAGTCTTTCTTCAAATCTCCCTCTTGCTCACACTCACTCTCCTCCCTCATCATGAGTGAACACACCCCCCTGCTGCTGATTGGCTCACTCTCCTCCCCCATCATGAGTAAACACACCCCCTACTGCTGATTGGCTCACTCTCCTCCCTCATCATGAGTGAACACACCCCCTACTGCTGATTGGCTCACTCTCCTCCCTCATCATAAGTGAACACGCCCCCTACTGCTGATTGGCTCACTCTCCTCCCCCATCATAAGTGAACACGCCCCCTACTGCTGATTGGCTCTCTCTCCTCCCCCATCATAAGTGAACAGGCCCCCTACTGCTGATTGGCTCACTCTCCTCCCCCATCATAAGTGAACACGCCCCCTACTGCTGATTGGCTCACTCTCCTCCCCCATCATAAGTGAACACGCCCCCTACTGCTGATTGGCTCTCTCTCCTCCCCCATCATAAGTGAACAGGCCCCCTACTGCTGATTGGCTCACTCTCCTCCCCCATCATGAGTGAACACACCCCCTACTGCTGATTGGCTCACTCTCCTCCCTCATCAAGAGTGAACACACCCCCTACTGCTGATTGGCTCAGTCTCCTCCCTCATCATGAGTGAACACGCCCCCTACTGCTGATTGGCTCACTCTCCTCCCTCATCATGAGTGAACACGCCCCCTTCTGCTGATTGGCTCACTCTCCTCCCTCATCATGAGTGAACACACCCCCTACTGCTGATTGGCTCACTCTCCTCCCCCATCATGAGTGAACACACCCCCTACTGCTGATTGGCTCACTCTCCTCCCTCATCATGAGTGAACACGCCCCCTACTGCTGATTGGCTCACTCTCCTCCCCCATCATGAGTGAACACACCCCTACTGCTGATTGGCTCACTCTCCTCCCTGATCATGAGTGAACACGCCCCCTACTGCTGATTGGCTCTCTCTCCTCCCCCATCATAAGTGAACACGCCCCCTACTGCTGATTGGCTCACTCTCCTCCCTGATCATGAGTAAACACGCCCCCTACTGCTGATTGGCTCTCTCTCCTCCCCCATCATAAGTGAACAAACCCCCTACTGCTGATTGGCTCACTCTCCTCCCCTATCATGAGTGAACACGCCCCCTACTGCTGATTGGCTACAAGTCTGTTTTGTTGCTCGGTCAGATCCACTTTCACCAGCGCTCTTCAGAAATCGCTTGCCTTTAAATACCATTTAAAATTGTATGAAATTTTTTATACTTTTATACATTTTTCTTGTATATCATAATTGTTATTGCATAACTGTGTTATGTACTCATGTTTTTTATTTCAAGTGGAAAATATTTTTAAGTGAAGTTACTAAAAGCTAATTCATTTTTTTTAAATGGTTGGTTACCAGTTACAGCACATATATTCATTCCCCTTTAATCTAAAAGCTTAATGTTAAAAATGTAATGTAAAAAAAATAAGTCAATGTTATTTGTCAACTACCTAAATATAACATAAAATGTTTCACCAAACACTGAACACAGATCAATACCATGTGTGTGAGCTGCTCCATCACACACTCCACCAACTCGGACTTGTTTTCCAACAGTTCTGGAGAAAACTTCTCATTAAGCCAAGCCTGAAACACAGGAGAACGATCGACACACATTAGAAAACACTATTCCAGAACGCATGCGTCTCATAGAGCTGCACGGTTAATCGTTAAAAGATTGCGATCTCGATGCAAACACCTACGGGATCTCATTCCTAAACAATTCGGGTTGAAAACTTTTTGAATTTGACGATCAGGGTAAATTAAACTTAATTGGTCTTCCGGGAAACATGTATGCATCTTCTGTTGCTTCCGAAGGGCAGTACTAAATGAAAAAAATATTATTAAAAATATTTATATAAAATAAGAAAAAATTACGAAAAATCTTCATCCTGTTCAAAAGTTTTCACCCCCGACTCTTAATGCATCGTGTTTTCATCAGTGAATGTTTGAACCTTTTTTAATAGTTTCGGTTTTAGAAATTCAGCTTTTTTGTCTTGTGGACTATATGGAAACATATTTTATGTAAAATATCTTATTCAGGACAGTACTAAATAAAAATATAACATGCATTTTATATGATCCCTCTAATTTAGTTTAAATTATTCACATTTTCACATTTCTGATTTCTGAGAAACGCTATTGAAAATCGATCAGACCCAGCACCAAAACATACAGCCAATCAGCATGAAAGGGCGTGTCCACAATTGAGGGGGAGGTGCCTGTTCTGCATAGCGCGTTCGTGAATTTGGGGGCGGGGCTATCAAGATAGGGGTGTGATCCTTCTTGGTAGGGGCGTGTTTGTTTTTGTGATTTAAAATATCAACAGTGTTTCTCAGAAATCGCTTACTGCACCTTTAAAAAGAAAACAATCTATAAGTTGGGTTAGAAAAATAAAAGTTGAGTAGAAAGTAGAAAAATTCAAAAGGAAAACAATACTTTTTTCTTTTTTACTATTTTAAGCATGCATTTTTCAGTGGTATATACCAGACTTAATTGAATCGTTCTGCTTCTGAAGTTAATGTATCTTGATTTAAGAAGGTTTAAATATTTGTACTGGACAACAAGACAAAAATACAGAGTAGGAACATCATTGTTTTGCAGTGTGAGCATGCATGAAAACACATTTCACGGTGTGTGTTATTGTTCGAGCAGGCTGAAAGCTGTCTGACCTCCTCCAGTTTGGTGATGAGCTCTGCTGGGGTCAACACGTCCTCCTGGCTCTCCTCTCCTCCACTGAGATCACTGGCGTCTGACATTGTGACTGTAACACTGTAACAATCAAACAACACTCAATCTAAAGTGCGGGAGTTTCGGCCAGAGCACGTTTAGTTCTGTCGTCAGAGAATCAGCTCGGCGAATACAACTCTCCGGAAAATCAAACTTCAGTGCAAAAAACAGCGAAATGAAATCCCAAACTTTCAGCTGTTTATATCCTCATGCGCGATCAATGCGGAAACCTTCTGATAGGGAATTTCGCGCCAAAAAACAACAAAATGACGCGGCGATGATGTCACCGCGTCCTCAAGCTCGTTGAAGTGGCGCAAGTCTGCGCATTGCACACCAAAAATAAAGCTGAAGTGCCTGTCGTTTTTCCCCCCTAGCTCTAGTTTATATGTTTTATAGTTAACAATATATAATTATAGTTCTTAATCGAAGAGATTGTGAAAATGCATATTTTGTGAAATCAGACAGTACATTAAGGTGCATTACTACTATAAGGGACTGTTTTCCATTTCTTTGTGACAGTATAGTGATGTTCATATCCTGATATTGTTCTCCAGTGGCACATGTTGCTATATTACTGGTAGCCTATTTTATTAGGAGATCTTGCATCAGTCATATTCCACAATTCTGTAATGTGGACACTTTATTTGAGTACACTGCGCATAATTTGCATACTATGTGTATATATGATCATTGTGAATCAGACACCTATATTTATTTGTATTTTTTACATTTTATATATTGTTTTATAGGGTAGGCTACTGTCTCCACGTGACTGTAACTTTCAGTCCGTTTTGAGTGATTTTCGTCGGTTGCTTATTAGTGTTTTCTAAATAATAATACAAATATTTTTTAATATGTTCTTTTTCTGAATGAACCAATTTCGAGCATTTCTGATCAAATAAAATATTTTTTCCTGTCTTTTTTTACCCAGCACGCGTGTCGTCCCCCGAGCGCTAGATGTCAGCATTGCGCTTTTATTTGCGTGCCCTTTAAATCAAACGCGCAGCAGCTGTGGCGCATGCGCAGTGTTTCAGTCAGTGAGCGCGCAGCCACCACAGGTCAATGTGCCACCATAGATATACATAATAAAGGCTTTATTATGTATCTATGAATGCCACAGTGTTTACTAGACAGCGGTTGCAGCTGAGCTAAAGACACCAACAACTAATCCAATGCAAACATTAGGAATGTCAGGCTTTACATACGAATTTCCTGATCTCATCAGCTTCTCGAGATAAAAGCACTTTTCAGAAGCATACTGTGTACTGTAACTGTGATCATGTCAACACAGCACAATAAAACTGTAGTATCTGATCTAGGATCAGTCTTTGACTGAACTCTATTGTGAAAACTATGATAATGCAACTGCATTATGTAAACTTTAGTATTGCACTTTGATTGCACCTGGATACAACTTTAAGTGCATTCAGATAATCACATAGTTAAAAAATAATGAAAATTTCATTAAGTATGAAAACACTTTTTTTACAGGGTCAGACACATTTAACACACATTTACGCACAGGCTCACACACATTTAACTTTAAAGGGTCAGTTAAAGGGCCTTTATAGAACAGAGTTCTTATGCAAACCAAGACTTTGAACCAGGTGTCCATTGAGAATATATTTTTTATTTTAAAAAAAATGTATCTAGCCTATAAACGTTTTTTTAAACTAGTGGTCTATTGTGCATTACATAATGTACATACCCTACATTTCATGATTAAAGTTATTATTAAGTGTAATCTAGCCAATTTTGCTGTTAATGGGTCTAATGGAATTCTCAATAGTAAAAATAAAAATACACTTTTAGAACTTGAAAAGAGGTTTGGGCTTTAAATACTTTTTTTTTAAGCTGTGACGCATGCCCAGTGTTTCAATTAGTGAGCACGAGCGCGTATAAGCTGTGACGCATGCGCAGTGTTTCTGTGAGAAAGAATGGCGGCCAGACTCCTCTTGAGATCAGCGACCCGTGCTGCTGTTTACAGCCGTCGGCCTGTCCCAGTTCAAGCTGTCATCAGGAGACTGGCATCTGGAGGTACTGGTCCATCAATGGCTTTGTTTTGTGTGCGTGTTGGAACTGGATAGAGCTTAGATCGACAGTAAATCGGCCTTTTTGAGTAGTAGCGCGTCACGGTCCCACCGCCTCAAATAAACATTCATCTTCTTTACACAACTTTTTTGTTATCAAATTCTCGCAACAACTTCATCGTTATTTCCTCATTACAGAGTTGTCAGTGAATTCCTACTTATGTCTAATCCTGTTAATCGCTGTCATCCTATTTAGTCTCAGTCGCCCTTGCAGGAAATAGCTAGGCTAGTTTGTTGCATAATAACAATAATAGCATGGGATACAAATATGTGAGTGTGTGTTATTTATATATATATATATATATATATATATATATATATATATATATATATATATATATATATATATATATATATATATATATATATATATATATATACTGTATATTTATGTATGTGTGTGGGTATTTAGGCCTATATATTATGTATGTATCGTATATATGTGACTGAAATGTGGCAATCTTTTCAGTCACATAAAGACTATAGTAATAGTACCTTAAGTAGCCAAATGAATTGCAGAAAAATAAATAAGCAACTGTATGAGGGGCATCGATACACCCTGCAGTCGCTCTGTAATATTAATAGTATGTGATCTTGTGTTGTTCAGGCATTCCCACAGATGATGAGCAGGCCACCGGTCTGGAGAAGATCGTGTTGAAAGCTTCCAAGGAAGGAATGGCAAGTATCTTGTGTTTAGTGGTAAAATAAAGAGAGCTGTTATATGAGTTCAGGAGAATTAATGCTGCTCTTCTCCACCAGGATCCATATAACATTTTAAAACCAAAGGAGTACGCAGGCTCCAAACAAGACCCTCATATCGTCCCCTCCATAACCAACAAGAGGATTGTTGGCTGTGTTTGTAAGTGAAATTATAATATTGATTTCTGTTTAGACATTTTTCTAGTCAAGTTCATCCTTATCTCTCATTAATCAGTATCGAAACATTAAACATTTAGGATGCTTGCTTAAAACAGTCTTCAAGTATCATTAATGAACAATGCCAGTGCTGACTTTAAGAGTCATCCAAATAAAGATCATAGCTAGATAGTCTCGTCATTCATTATGTTTCCATCCAAAATTGCGAATTAAACTTATGCGCAAGATTGGAATATTGCATAAAAAATGTGTGAATAAAAGGGCTTTTACATGTACAAGAGAACAAAAACCATCACTTCATGGAAAATTGGCACAAAATATCAGTAATAAAAATGGAAGTTGTTGCAATGCTTCCGGAGGGAATTAAACCCAATCATTCTGATGACAGACTTTGACTCCGGCGTTTCAGAACCACCAAACCAACATTTGAGATGCTGTGATGCCATTGGTCCGCTTGATAGTCCAGTTATCCAATCACAGCCTCTGCTGAGGCGAAGTCACCTGAGTTTATTGATGCACATTGAGGGATTTATTCAGTAAATGTGTTTCCATCGTAGTTTATGCACATGTCGTCTCATCAAATAAAAAACAAATCCACCTTAATTGAGTGCATAGTTTTTTTTTTAATGCATTTTATTTTTTTATGTGCATCTTGTTTTTTTTTTACAAAATGCAATATCCCAAAATGTGCATAAAAATAGGCGGATGGAAAATGTATAGCTATTGTCAATTATGTGTATATTATTAGCATGAGCCATCATGATGACCTTCGGACAAGCCTATCTGATTTATTTATTTTTTTCTTTGTGTTTGAAGGTGAAGAGGACAACACTGCAGTGGTTTGGTTTTGGTTGCATGAGGGTGAAGCCCAGCGCTGCCCATCCTGTGGCGCTCACTACAAACTCGTTCCACACGAGTTACCCCACTGAAACATGCACTAAACACTCCCATACTGACTCAAACGCTATAGATGTGTGACTCGCGCACAATCTCCTTCGCTGTTCTGAAGAATAGAATTGCACTTTTTATAGGGACCTAGTTATTTTTCTTTGGTTGCTTCACATGAGCAGATTTAACATTTAACATAAAGAAAACTGGCTTTCTACAAATCTGAAATGTACAATTCTGCATTGTTTTCTTATCTGGAATGTATGTTTCATTGTATTATGAGAAAGTTTATGTACCCTATTGTTCGCTGTGGCTCAGATACTTCCAAATTTTCCTCAAAAATACAATGCATTACCTGTTCTGTTACATGAATGAGCTGTTACTTAAAATCGGCGACTAAAACGCAAGTTTGCACATTTTTGAAAGGGTGATAATGTCTACAGATGTCTTTGCTTTTCAATGTGTAGACAAAGAAATTACATTCCCTACTGTGTGGGACTCAAACTACATTCCATCTACTTTTAAAGTCTTAAATGAATTTTCCGTGTTTATATATCTAAAATAAATGTGGTGTTTCAACATGTAGAATGTGTCATCTCTTTGCATCTCATTGCTAGAATCTTTTCATTGACATCACAGGAAAGACCTGACATGATCTTGACAAATTTATTTTATAAAAAAATATTTTTTACATTCAGTATACAATTGTACATTAGACATTTTTCACATTTTTGGTGCATTTTTCAAACACATCTTGTGCCAAGTACCTTGAGACTGTAATATAAAGATAAAACATAAAAATACAATTTTGAAGGATTTCCCCTTATATGAAAATTCTAATTTAAGCCAGACTAGCCTTGGAAATGATTCATAAAAATATAAAAAGTATTGATTATTTACTCTGGACCCTGAATCGTACACAAGTAATTTGTATTCATTAGATGAATGGCTTGAAATATTGTGTACACTTGTTCCACTTCAACTAAGAAGCTATTCTCTTTGGCAGATATAGCTACATAGATAAACTTGTCAACGTATGTAACATTTACATTTTAACAGCATTTGGTCATCAAAAGCGATTTACAGTGCATTCACTGACACATTTTGCCAGTATGTGTGTACATTGGGAATCGAGTCCATGAATATGGTGCTGCAAGTGACGCTCTACCAGTTACAGGACCTCATATGAAACAGTCTTCCAGTTGGCATTAGTCTTTAAAATCAACATGAAACAATTCACAACCCATTTTACTTCTTGTAAAATGGTCCTGAAACTTGATTATGAAAATGGACTTGACCGTTCCACATCAGAGTGAAGGAAATGAAACAGCCAGCACACGTTGGTTTAATTTAAAGTCCCCCGTAGTCAATAATTTATCCCTTAAAACTCACCAAAATGACATATTTGAACGTTTTTTCCTTTTCAAATAATTATTATGCCTTAAAATATCTTGAATGTAACTCGACACCCTTGCCTCGTTTAGTATACAAGGTTCTATGAATATGCAAATGAGCCCCGCCTCCACTCACTCACTCAGCTCAGAGATCCACTGGTTGACGATCACACGTTGATCTGATTGGTTACAAGGTCGTTTGTGACGTCAGAAACACCAGCGATTTCAAACCGTGTTTTTGAGACTGTCTTTGGTTCACTGCAGTTTTAAGCAGAAAATACTCAGCAATGCTGTCGACTTATGAATTTACACATGCTTTGTCTTAAAGCATATTAAAAACACCACATACACATATAAACAACTATTAAAAGCTGGATTTTCACCACAGGGGGACTTTAAGTGGTGACTCTGAGCATGTTATTACATTTCAAGACCTTGTTTTCTTTGAATAACATGGCTAAAACATGTATTAAGAAAAATAAACAGGTTCAGTTTTGATTTCATGTTGACTTAGAATAGCACAATAGAAGTCTAGACCATAAGAACCAGTAGTTTCAGAACAGTTCAGTATGGCTGCAGGCCTGTCATGTTGTACCCAGCCGGTGAATGCCAGATTGGAAACGGGTAAGGATAGGAGGGCAAAGATGCCTCATAAGACCCAGGAAAGGGGGTGCCCACTGGTGGACAATGCATAGAGTGGGTCTGAGCATTAGGTATTGTTAGATGTGTTGGAAGAAGTACAGGTTGAAGAGCCTTCAACTGTTCGGATAAGTCTCCCCGGGATCTCTCTAAGGTTGGCATGTAGGGCATTGTTAAACCGGCATGGGGGTGGAAGAAGTACTGCTGGGTACTAGGAAGAGGCTTCGGCAACATAGTTTTTCCTTTCTCTTTTCTGTCCGTCGTCATGCGAAGCTGAGAGGACACTGGGATCTTCTTCAAATAGGCTTCATCGGTGGTAGGCCTCTTTAGGAGGTGCTGATGATAGGACATGTGTGGCTTAAAAGTGGGTTGTAGCCTACAGGGATCACGTGGTAAGACTTTCGAGAAGCTTGAGGCATGAGGAACCCAACAGGCTTTGGTGTAGACGGGCGAGGGAAGCCTGTGGGATGCAAGTCTGGTGGCGGATTTACCATCCGAGGTCCATAAAAGACTCCTTTGAGTTTTTTCGGGATGGGTTTGGCCAGCTTGCAGGTATTCCCGGTAATGGTAGTGGTGATAGTTGGCAAGTTCTTTGCTGTTGGCGTTGGGGTAACAACCGAGAGGCTTGCAAACCCCGGCGCTACTGGCCTTGGATGTGGGAAGAGTTGGCAAACGAGAAGGTGTTTTACTTCCGATCTCTTTGACGGGAGACTTTTGGGTCGTCACGGCTATACAGTCCTCGGATGAGACCGAGTAAGGAGATGGGCTTCGGGACAAGGAGTCAGACGGAGAGGAGACGGGAAGGGGCGAGCCTTCGGAAGAGTGCCGGGTGCGTGTAGAGGAAGGGTTAGCGGGAGACTGGGAAGAGAGGGATAGCTGGATAACGGAGGGTCTCTCCAGCTCGGTACCATCTTCCACGGAGCCAGAAGCAGGGATGGTGAGGCTAGCCTGAGCCATACGCTTCTTCTTCTCCAAGGGAGAGATCACCTCAGCCGGGATGGGGGTCTGAAGGAGTGGGATCTCTCTGGGAACCGTGGACGGCTGCTCAGAGTCGGAGGATGGCATCCACGAACTGGGATGGGAACACATGCCTCTCTCACAGTGATGATCTGATCCCAGTTTCTCCTGAGAACGAAAGTGAGATGCGTCAGGATAAGGAGCAGACTGATAGATCGTCACACAGGACGTTTGGAGATACACTAAAAGTCGCTGTTTGGATTTAAATAGGCAAATGCTTAGGAGTCATTATTGCAGTAATTATTATGTTTCTGGCATGTTATATGTGTGGCAACAGCTCATTGATGGAGTGTGTAGCTTTTCATTTCTTAAACAGCCATGTATGAAGACTCATCATGTTCATATTCCAGGAGGAAAATGTCAAGATTCATCCGGCTCAGATTGAGAAAGAATGGTTGTGAGGAGCTTGAAGAATCATTGTCTCCTCTGAGTCCAGAGCTTAAATTCATTGAAAGTGTTTGGGATGTGCTGGAGGAGACTTTACAGAGTTACAGACTCTTGCTTTGACAATACAAGATCTTGACCAAAAACTGATGCACCTCTTGATGGAAATAAATGTTGTGATGTTATATCCATCAAGAGGTGCATACATTTTTGGTTGTTATCCTGGAATATGAACATGATGAGTCTTCCTACATATTCCTACAGATATTTAAGAAATGAAAAGCTACACACTCCATCAATGAGCTGTTGCCAAACATATAACATCCAAGAAACATAATAATAACTGCAATAATGATCCAGTCATAGACTCTTTTTTTGTATAACATTTGCCTATTTAAATCCAAACAGCGACTTTATTTTTTTGGCCGGGCAGTGTGTGCATCTCTCAGATTTACTGCATACCGTTGGATTGGATTGTACGTAGGGCTGGGTGATCTATCTATCTATCTATCTATCTATCTATCTATCTATCTATCTATCTATCTATCTATCTATCTATCTATCTATCTATCTATCTATCTATCTATCTATCTATCTATTCATTCTATCTATCATCTGACTATTTCTATCTATCTATCTATCTATCTATCTATCTATCTATCTATCTATCTATCTATCTATCTATCTATCTATCTATCTATCTATCTATCTATCATCTGACTATCTATCTATCTATCTATCTATCTATCTATCTATCTATCTATCTATCTATCATCTGACTATTTCTATCTATCTATCTATCTATCTATCTATCTATCTATCTATCTATCTATCTATCTATCTATCTATCTATCTATCTATCTATCTATCTATCTATCTATCTATCTCTCATCTGACTATTTCTATCTATCTATCTATCTATCTATCTATCTATCTATCTATCTATCTATCATCTGACTATTTCTATCTATCTATCTATCTATCTATCTATCTATCATCTGACTATTTCTATCTATCTATCTATCTATCTATCATCTGACTATTTCTATCTATCTATCTATCTATCTATCTATCTATCTATCTATCTATCTATCTATCTATCTATCTATCTATCTATCTATCTATCTATCTATCTATCTATCTATCTATCATCTGACTATTTCTATCTATCTATCTATCTATCATCTGACTATTTCTATCTATCTATCTATCTATCTATCTATCTATCTATCTATCTATCTATCTATCTATCTATCTATCTATCTATCTATCTATCTATCTATCCATCCATCCATCCATCAAACTTTAAACTACTTTAAACAAACAAACTCTCTGGTCCGGCTTTCTCAAGTCAACTTCTCGACAAACTTTTTTATCTAAGTTTCCTAAAGACTTGTTTTGTGATCCCTCCTTGTCTCAAGACTAGTAAAGTAGCATGAACATCCTTAGATTAATTCCTACTAATTGGTTCAGACAGTCCACTTCAATGAATCAATTCAACAATCTGTTTGCGTCATCACATAGTTCTCACTAGTTCTCGTTTGACAAAGAGTTCCTTTGATCGAAGTGCATTTCTTGCCGCTCACCTCGCACTCTTCTCTCTCCATCTTCCTCTTCTTCTTGCTCTCTGGCTTACTTCCCCTGTTCTCAGGGCTCCTCTTGTACTGTTTGCGAGGTTTGGAGGGTGGCAGTGGTTTGTCCTCCTCCCCTTTCAGTTGCCTCTCAAAGGGCAACACCAATCTGCACAAAGAAAGAGATTGTGAGTCAGAGTCTCCCTTGTAAGAGTTTTCATTGCAACTTCTCGTTCTGCACTGTAGTCAAGTCACCTTCATTTATACAGCGCTTTTAACAATATAGATTGTTTCAAAGCAGCTTTACAGCGATAATAGGAAATTAAAGTAACAGAGATTGTTTTGGCTTTACAATCTCAAACTTTGAATAAAGTTATTGTCCAGCTAAAGTTAGCTTTGATTGATTCACTTCCGTTGCAAAGATCATTAGTTATGACCAACACACCTCAAATCATTAGGTTTGTTTGAGATTGCAAGTGTGTTTACCTCTCGTAGTGTCTGCGTGTGCATGTGGCGGCACTAGTACTGCCTGGACTCCCCCCCAGCTCGTCGTACACATTCTTCCATAGCCTCCGCGCTGTAACCTGTGAGCAAACACAGCGTTGTTATTATACACCCTCAGCAGCAAAGAGAACTGAACTGCCTAATCTTTAGTGATACTTCTTTCACATGGATTCAACTACAAGACAGATGCTAACGACAAGGCCACACCACACATCACATAATAAAAGTGATTTCGACGTTCTTTCAAGGGATGCACGATATATCGGCCACTATATCGGTATCGGCCGATATATGTTCATTTTTAATGTTTTCGTTATATGCCCAATAGGAATATATCTTAAAGCTGATAAATAATGGATTTTTTCCTTCAGCTGAGACACTTCAGATGTGCACTGTTCACCATGATGGATTTGAATCGCCTGATTTATGATTGAAATCACTTAACAACAGTTCAATGCAACATTTGACGTCTGTCATATATGCTACATAAAGTTATAATGAGAACGTTATAATTGTGTGTTTGGGACATGGCTTTTAATGGTGAGACTTTTGTTTTTCTCAACATGTATATAAAAATTTGGATTTAGATTTACTGGCCGATATATCGGCTTTCAAATATAAAGAATTATCGGTTTTACCAAAATGTTCATATCGGTGCATCCCTAGTTCTTTCTACTGGTGCGTTCACATTTACTTTGTACAATGAAATTCTGCAGGCAAATTCTCGATGGGAATTTGGTAAACCCGACCCGTTATCAGACAGCAGCACTAATTTTATTTCGTACCCGACCCGTTCGACATTAAGACCGCGTCTCCATTAATGAAAAAAACATATAGCCAAATATGAGGCTTTCCGGTCAAAATTTCAGGGACATTTCATTTTATTTTCTAGCATTTTGTTTGACAGTTTGTGCACTGCATGCATTGCACTATCAGTCTGATCAGCTCTTGTCATAGTGGAACTTCATGATTAGTCACTGCTTAGTTTCAGAGGTTGCCTCATATCTGTCTAAGTACATACCCCAAATTTATTTTCACAGGCTGATAAAGGTTTCAGCTTTACAATGCGAATACCACTCATACTGCCTGACACATTGCTAAATCAGTTAATGACCAAGGTACTTTTTATTGGCAGGTGTCAGTCCTCTGAAGTGTCTGTTTAGAGGCAGCAAACACATTCATTTTTAGATGTGTTACTGGAATAAAGTTTGTCTGATGCAATAATGGCTCTCTTTTCTTTGTTGCATGACTCTTACAAGGTCAAACTTTCCACTCCCAGACCCCATTCACACAAAGAAAACAAGACCCCCTTTGACCAAGGCTAAAATTATATATACAGATAGACATCGGTTTTACTGACCACACGCACACTTATTAAAATACAAACACTTTAGCACCTTAGAGAGAGTGGAAACTTAAGAGTGAGAACAAAGCTTTGTAGAAGCAGGTTTGGACAGAAAGAGCAAGTGGCGGATGGACCCCTATTCTCATTGTGGTCATAACGGTCACTTGCTGTATGTATGGTGTGACCTAAAGCCATCATAGTTTCCACTGTGCAAGAGCAAGAGGCGAATGCATGACCTGCTTCTCAACTTCCTCGTGAGCTGCGGAAGCCTTGGGCAGTTGGCACACTTGCACAATATATCGACAAGATAATGCTATCAGTGGCATGAATGAGAGATGGGGGAGATAGACCAGCAACAGGTTGTGAAAGGTTTGTTTGCTTGAGGACACCTACCGCATCATATCCTCCAAGAGTCTCCACAGCTTTGTAGATTTTCCACAGGTTGACTGGAAAAAAAGAAAAGTGGTGATATGTAGATTCACTTCCCACAAAATGCAAAAATGCACACGTCATTTTAGTGTTTCAACAAAAGTTCAGTAAAAGGAGGCGCTTTTTATTATCTATTAATTTTATATTAGGTATGGAAACATGTTACTAAATTCTGGAACACTGCTAAATACAGTTTAGATTTTCTTTAAAAAAAAAAAGTATATTTCATATATAGTAATTAAAACAACGCTAGAAGGATTGCAAATTTAGCCTAAATGCAGTCTCACTCAGGTCTGGCTTGCTAGTTTTCTACCAAATTAATAAACAAATATTTTTTACAATAAAATTGTTACATGTTTGCGCTTGACAAATGCAGTCAACAGAAACATTTTTGTAAAAATTCAGAGGTTACACTTTATTTTAAGGTGATGTAGTTACTCACATATATTAATTAACCACATGTACTTACTATAGAGTTATGGTTAGGGTTTGGTTAAGGAATAGTTGCTTGTAATTATGCATAATTTGCTGTTATTACTTTAGTAAGTACATGTAGTAACGTGTCACGTTAAAATAAAGTGTTAACAATCCCGAAAATGGACTGAGATTTCATGCAAGTAAGTTTTGACTAATGATTTCAATAGCTGGATACAGTTGAGAAGATCTTATAGAATTTTTATATTTTAGATAATTTATCAAGCCGTTTTTACAACAAAAATCATGAAGTTTGTGTCTTTAATGCTTATAATTGTCCTGGCACACCGTATTCGTGGAAAGTGACAGATACAGTGTTTTTTATATTAGTGGTTCTCAGCTCGTGCTATATGTTAATAATAAAATGCAATTAGTTATATAGTTTTAAACATGGTTTATGATGACAATGTGTTTTGTGAGGTGAATTATGGCTGCTGAAAGCATCAACCCATTTAGAAAGTAAATTCTCAGCAATTTTGAATATCATTGGGCCAAAGCAGCTCTTCGTAATATATATATATATAAATACATTTACATTTATTCAATTACATTTGCCTGATTTTGAGAGTTGAGGTTTTGGTGTAGAGTTACCACATGATGTTCAATGCCAAAAGCATCTGAAAAGCACTGATTTAAATGATATTATATGAGATGCAACAGTTTTCAGACTCACTCTGTTTAAAGCCAAGATGGGGAATTCTCTCTATCGGCGTGCCTCTTTCCTTCATAAAACAGTACAGATTGGTCACAAATGTCCTCTCTTCACTCTCAGATTGGTCGGTTCTGGAAGCCTCATCGCTGCTATTGGTGGATGCCAAGTTCTCCATCTCCATGCTGGTCTAGTGGGAAAATGGTGCATGGTTAAAAGACAGAAAATCACGAAAGTTGTCCAAAGAAATGCAACAAATATCTGGGTGCTTTTGCTTAAAGAATATTTTAGGAATACAAGGCTTATTCTCGAACATTAGCTATGTTTTCATCCAGAGAACTCATGAACAAAATTGGAATATCGCATCATAAAACGAGTGGAAAAGCTCAAAATCGGCACTTCCTGATAAACTGGCGCCAATTATGACCCAAAAAAAATAGTAGGAAAAGCCAATGTGGGTTTTTTCCTATGTATTTCCTATTTTTCGTATTTCGCTGGTTACTCCAGGTATAGCGTCCAAACAGGCAAAGTCACATTTAATTTATCATTCACACATAATTTGTTCAGTAAATGTGATCCCATCCTAGTTTATGCGCATGTTTTGTCATCAGATCAGCACATTTGTTTAATTTATGCGCATCTTGGCGTTTCCATCCAGCGTTTTTTATGCGATATCCCAAAATGGTGGAAGAAAACATAAGCTACGGTGATTTTTTCATGACAATTACTATACATTATTAATTATATACTCTGTATTTTACTGTATTTTTATTTATTTATGCATTTTAATTATTACTTATATTCAAATGGTAAACAATGTAAATGATGGTAGTATTGCTTGTTTAATGATTTAAATAAAAAACTATTTGTTTTCAAGTAATAAGAATCACCATTAATAATAATAATAATAAAATGACAAAAAAAGGTAAAACTTCCAGACACATCCTGGTAGTGAAAAATTGAGAGAAAATTAAATGGTCACAATGCAAAAAAATAGGCGTTTTTTTAAGGTGAAATGTGATAAATGTGCATAAATTTGACAATTTTTCTATTTCACATAATTGTCCATTTCTGTCTAGTTCAGGAGTTCCCAACATAAGAGTTCGATTGTCAATAAATATACAGTATGCATGTGCACTGTACACGATATAGGCAAGATATGAATATATGTGGGAGAGTTTGTGTCATTTACAGGAAGCGGCGTAATTGTGCTTCGAATAACCTTCAAATTTCACTTTCACACAAATAGCATGATAAACCTTCTGTCTGATTCATTTTCTGAAAGCCTCATGCAAAATTGCAGGTGATATAGGTGTTCATGCAACTCCAGTCATATTCAGAGTGTGAGACTGAAAACACAACAGCTTTGGCTTTCACCACCACTTTCAATAAGTAACCAGACATCCTGTTTGAAGGGAAACCGAACCACTGGTGGGGTTTTCACAAATGAGAGATGCACTAGTGCTGTTCTCCACGCTATGATCAAGACTCGTGTGCTGCAAACATGAGAAACCTTGCAATTACTGCAAGAGAGAGAGGGCGGGAGTTAGTGATTCTGCTGAAAATCACAATGAATGTATCTACAGTCAAACAAATATTTGTTCAGACACCTTCAACATTTCTCACATTATCACAGTTTATTCGCTATAGTTTAGAAAATGGTAATAAAATATGAGAAGAAGAACTCCCAGTTGATATTTCACTGGTTTTGTCCGTCCTTCTGTTAGACTGTCTCGCAAATAAATTATGTTGAATATCTGTCAGCTGTTAAATTTAACTACACAATTAGATAGTACCAGTTTAGCTCAACCAATCACCAAGCAATGCTTCATGTTGTTCAATCTGTGGTGTAAAAAGGTTGCATTAGCAATTAAAGAAAAAACACTTCAGCAAAACATGATCAGGTCTGAATATTTTTACTGGTATTCACTCTATGAAGAGTTAATGGGTATAATATGTCACAGTTTACTTTATTTTGCTATCCTCACTTACATAAATTAACTATAGTGTCCTACAAAAAAATATATATATATATATATATCTGAATGATTTTTGAATTGACTGTATATTATACTAAAAAAGTGAAGTGAGATTATCAGATAGATATGTTCCTCAGTTCGCACTTATCTATACAATTTAATCAAAAGACCTTGTGCAATTCGCTTGTACTGTACTTCAAATCTTACAAATATATTTAAAAGAAACTGTACATCCAGATAATATAATATTGCTGAAATAAAAAGCCCTCGCTTTCATGACACTTTTAAATAATGTCAAACTAAAAAGTACTTTTTAAATTATTATGTTTATTAAACTTTTGACATGCTAAAGAACTATTTTGATGTGTTGACTAACATACGAAAGCACTTTTGATTTGTTATAAATCTGATATTTCATTTAAAGTTAATATATTTTAAATGTACTAAATTGAAAAGTCATCATTACAAGTGTGTAATTACAAACATAATTAAATACATGACACAAGTTTCAATAGAAATGACATTAAAGTTAATTTTTACACATGAGCATACTGATTTAAAATTATATTATTTCCATATTAAGAACTATTTGTATAAGTATGTAAAAAAGTGTACTTCTTTTTTTTTTTTTTTTTTGCCGAAAGCAAGGCTAATATAGACAAAAACACAAGTTTTCATGAAATGCCTATGGTTTCAGACACCACTACAAATAGCTGTCCCCTCAAATAATGTCCTATTTAAGAGTATACTGGGGGTAAATTGGGCCACAGCCCTTGAAACACAGCACGATTTAGGGCATCATCCATGTCTGTAATATAAGGTGACCAGATTTCTGAAATTGAAACCTCACTTATTGTCTATGAACTAACAAACGGATGCAAAATATTTTTTTAACTTATCAAATGTTAATTTGCTATGCGTGTGTCATTTATTTTTTAACCCTAACCCTATACCCGATAAACACTTCATTCTCACTATTAAATCATCTTTAAGTAGTTTATTTTCACCTTTTGAATATTTTCTTAATTTTTATTAATAATAAAGGCCTCTCCAAGCTGATATGCGGAGAAGAATAAGTTCAGAAATAGGCGGGTTCGAACTACGCCCACTTTTTACATTTTTATATATTTTTTTACAGTCTATGGTTAGGACACGATGTAAGAGCTGTGCGTGTAAACCTCACTCCCCTGATCTCAAGAGGCGCACTAGCGATTGATGCTATAGCGGCTGCGGTCTTTAACGTCCTTGTTAGCGTCGGTTCATATCATAGACATAGAGGTTCGAATCCCGCTCAGAGCGTGTCAAGTAGGAGCGATTACACATACAAACAGTATTACTTTAACATGAATAGCTAGTATGTGACTACCTTGAATCCTCTTTTGCTACATGATGATAATAATGCTCTGCTGTTCTGCACGTAAAGCTCTTCACAATTAATGTAGCGGCGCGAAGTAATCAGTATTCCCCGCAGCGCCCTCTGTTGGTGAAAATAACCACTACATCACGGCTCTGGTAATGTTGCCTGGGCTTTTTCGCAGTGTATTTGTGGCACCTCAACACCTTATAGATGTTCTTGCATAACCAGAAAGGAACAAGCCCTGGTGAAACAGGGAAGTAAGTGAATGTTATCTACAGAAAAACAGCACATTCACCCTGAGTGGCAAAGTGATAAGCTGATCACGCCAAAGTGGAAGTGCTAAAGCTAACGCCCAGAAACACAAGACAATGACCCAGAGTGAGGGCAGGCCGCAAGTGAGAAATGAAAGAGTGAAGGCATGCAGAAATGAACGCCAGCCGTCAAGTATCGCCCACTCAGAAACAACACACGTGACTTATAGCTTCCTGGTAAACTCCAGAAAATCAGTTCATGTAAGCTAATGGTTTAAGAAATTGCATAGCTGGTATATATACATTGTGGCTTGATGCATGTCAGACCAACTGGCTGTTAAAGGAGCCATAGGATGCAAAACAGGGGGTGAATTTCATTTTTTGTAAACTGTCCAATTATTAAAGAGTCCATTTACAAGTCAAGTCATCTTCATTTATATAGCGCTTTTAACAATGTAGATTCTCATTTCATGGAGAAGTCTTAAAGATGGAGAAAATGGTCATTATACTAAACTTCGATCCTTGACTAATCTTATACATTTAGATTTTGGTTGCACTTTATTTTGATAGTCCACTTTAGACATTCTACTAGCTATAAGTAACTTTGGGTTACACTTTATTTTAAGGTGTCACTGTTACAGTGTTACGGAAGCGTATTGCATTCACTTGAGGAAAAAAATCTACTTTTCTGAATTAACGAGTTAATATCTCAGAATTGCGAGATACTTTTTTCATGGAAAAAAGTTTTTGCTCTGTTTTTCTGAATAAATGACTTAATTATGAGTAACTCATTGATTCATAAAAACAGAGTGAAAAAAATGTTTTTCAAGAAAAAATTCTCTCGTAATTCTGAGATATTAACTCGTTAATTAAAAAAAACAGAGCAAAAACTTTTTTTTCATTAAAAAATTTCTCGTAATTCTGAGATATTAACTCGTTAATTCAGAAAAACAGAGCAAAAACTTTTTTTCATGAAAAAATATCTCGTAATTCTGAGATATTAACTCGTTATTTCAGAAAAACAGAGCAAAAACTTTTTTTCATGAAAAAATATCTCGTAATTCTGAGATATTAACTCGTTAATTCAGAAAAACAGAGCAAAAACTTTTTTTTCATGAAAAAATATCTCGTAATTCTGAGATATTAACTCGTTATTTCAGAAAAACAGAGCAAAAACTTTTTTTCATGAAAAAATATCTCGTAATTCTGAGATATTAACTCGTTAATTCAGAAAAACAGAGCAAAAACTTTTTTTCATGAAAAAATATCTCGTAATTCTGAGATATTAACTCGTTAATTCAGAAAAACAGAGCAAAAACTTTTTTTTCATGAAAAATTAACTCATAATTCTGAGATATTAACTCGTTAATTCAGAAAAACAGAGTAGATTTTTTTTTCCTCAAGTGAATGCAATACGCTTCCGTACAGTGTAGTTATAATATACATATACAGTGCTGAGTAATATTAAGTAACTACATGTACTCACTATAGGGTTGGAATACGATTAGGATTTGGTTGCATGTAATTATGAATAATTTAGTGCATGATTCTTACTATGGTAAGTACATGTAACGATATTTAGCAAGGACACTGTCAAATAAAGTGTTACCTAACTTTGCAACTACATGTCGATTAGCAGTTATTAGAGTATTAGTAGAATAAGTTGAAAAGTTAGAATATCTAAAGTGGACTATTAAAATAAAAATGTGTATAATATGAGCCCTTTCTCTTTGCTAAGCTGGTTTGCTGGTCTTAGTTTTGGGCACAGATCATCTAAAACCAGCTAAACCTTTTGTGTTGGTGGAAACATGTTTTGGAAACATTTGGTTGCATTTGGTTAAATCACAATCACACACCGAAAACCATTCATAACAGCTTGAGAAGAGAAATTCCCCAGTGCATTGCGCACAGAAAGCTTTGGATTTCCACTTGATGACTTTGGTGGTTGAACCGTGCCGTTTGCTGCCGAAGTAATGTTCAGTCAGTGAGTTTCACACTGAATAGAGTTCCTCAGAGAGGGTAACTTCTTCCCAGAACAAGGCCTCTACAATGACTAATATTGAGCATATAGCGCTTTATTCTAACCTCTGACTAATATAGAAGACAAGAAGGCCCCTTTTCAGTGTACCGAAATGAGTAAACATTGAGGCCCAAGGGTAAATCTCTCTCCTGTAAAGGGAATAATATCATACATGTGTATGTAGGCCCAAAAGCTGGGGCAATCTAAAACGAGTCTGATTCATTCTTTCCCTCGCTTCAGCCATGAATACAACAGAGAAAACACACTGACACATGCTTTTTGCTACGGGTACAACTGAGCACCGGTCTGTCCTGATTTGAGTCATCTTCACTGAAATTTCATATAGAGATTTATCTGATTGCCATCTACCCAAACACTTCCTGTTATATTGACAACACTGATAATAACCAGCTTCGAGGAATAGCGTTGAGAAACGTTCTTGGAATAAATGTTTAAATATCTTTTAATCAGGAGAAATATGTTAATGAGTTTTGCCAAAAAACGGTCTATTAAAAATAATACATTTTGTGCAAATAGCAATAAAAGTATCTTCTTTGCACTAAGTGTAAATAGTTAGTAGTATATTATACAAAATATTCAGTGTATTTGATTATTTTTATGTTTCCTACTTGTCCCTACATCCCTAAAGCCTATACCTATTAAACCTAATCAAATACACCTATACCCAATACACACTTCATTCCCACTATTAAATCATCTTTAGGTACTTTATTTTCACATTTTGAATATTTTCTTCATTTTTATTCATAATAAAGGCCTCTCCGAGCTGATATGCGGAGAACTTTTTTTGTTTTCCTCTGTATAATTATGTCTTTTATTATTGTAAGGTGTCCTTGAGTGTCTTGAAAGGCGCCCACAAATAAAATGAATTATTATTATTATTATTTATTAAGAAAAAGTTCAGAAAAAGGCGGGTTTGAACTCCGCCCACTTTGGGATCAAAAATGCTCTTTAAAAATGAATTGGGTTCAGAAACCTATGGGCATTTTTTCTCTTTTATCTGTTACAAAGTCATTTTTAACCACAAATGTAATAAAAGAGCCGAGGTAATGCTTGAATGCACATCAACATGTCATTAAACTATTGAGGGCACTTGATATGCAACAAAAACATGAGATCACTAGTTCAATTTAATACAGTCATATCAAGACCACAATAGGGAAGAGCTCTTAGACGCTACCTTAAAGTTTCAAACAGGAAGGTTTTGTGTGTGTGTGTGTGTGTCCCCGTCCCTCTCGAACTGTGGCTAAAAGTAGCACAGACCCTGCTGTGAGAGACTCGCAGCTCTTAAATTTCCACCATTCAAATTTCGGAAAAGTGCGTGGGTAAAGTCTGCAGCGGACGTGTCAATAACACTCTCAAAATGAGAGCTTCTACATGTTGAAGAAGAAGAAGAAGACGCAGTGGCATGGCCAGCGCTCGCCACCAAAACCACACGGCTTTCAACTTCTGACGCCACCCTGGAAATATGATGCATCTTTGCACTAGCATACAAACGCTGTTTTCAATTACCAGAAGTGTGAGAGAGAGAGAGAGAGAGAAAAAAAACATCTGCCATTGTTTATATGCCTATCTGTGTGTGTAGCATAAAAGAAATGACTATACACATGCCACATTTTACTCACTTATTCACTTGTTATTCGTATGTACTGGAGAAATGAAGAAGCGAAAACTGTTACCGAAATAACTAAAAAAAGGGGAGCAAAGACTTGTTGAGTAAATACATGTCAATATACTGGGACACTGTGTTCTCACACAACAGATAAAAAAAAAAAAAAAGTATTTTCTTGCTAAATAAAAGTCAAATTGTCAATCATGTCAGATGTCATGTGACTAACTACTGTTCCTGACATCAGCATTCTCCGTAACCGAAATATTGCAATAATACCAGAAATCAATTTGGCAACAGTCATTAGATCGAAAGGGGAAGTGAGATGTTATTTTTACAAGCAAATTTGCACTTTTCAGCAACATCAGAAGGATCAGTTATGTGAAATTTACATAAACTACCATGCGAATTCATGTTTACAGTTTTGGGAGATAATACGTTCTCACGCCTTGAAGGGATAGTAAGCATTATATCATCGTTTACTCAAAACCATATGCTTTTAGTCGTTTAGTGGAACAACAAAAAGCGGAAATTTGGAGAACTGTTACGCAGCCTTTGCCACAGAACCACAATAAAAATAGTGCATTGGACTGAAGTCATATGATAGTCTCTGCTAAACCACCAAATGTTCTCAGAAATGAGTCTAAAGGCTTTGAGTGAAGCATGAGTGGATTACCTGGTTTGGTGAATTGAGCTCCTGCTGTGTGTCTTCACAGTCTTCACGCTCTGCTTCTCCAGATTCGACCTCTCCTCGAGGGTCCAGCACTGAAACACAGTTACACACACACGTCAACGATGCCAATCTACACTGGGAATGAAATGTTTTAGTGGGGTTTTCAGTGTTGATGCAGATATCGAGAAAGCAAGCAAGCCAACTGATCAGCTTTATAAAGGTGTTATATATATATATATATATATATAGCAAATAAATGAATATGATTGACTTTAAAAACAAGTATAGAGTCACTTTAAGATTACTCAAAAATGGATAGTTTTAACTCAACATGATCATCGTTAACCGAAACCTGTATCACTTTCTTTCTTCCGCGGGACAGGAAAGAAAAAAAAAAGTCCATACAATGAAAGTACATGTTGACTGACATTGTATAGGCAAAAACTGCTGAAACACTGTTCTAACAGTGTTATTTCTTGTTTATATACTTTTATAGTATTTATTCATGTTTTGAATTAACTTTTATTTTTAAATTTTCAGTTTTCATTTTAGTTTAAGTTTTTAGTAATTTTGTTATGTGCTTTTGTCACTTTTAAAGTTTTTTTAAGTACCTTTATTATATATATATATATATATATATATATATATATATATATATATATATATATTCTAATATTTATATTTGTATCATTTTTATATATTTATAGCTTCAAATAATTTTCATTTCAGTTTTAATTTGAGTAATAACTTATTTATTTCAGGTAGCCGCCAAGATAACATTTATAATTTTATAGTTTTCTAGGTTTTTTGTTTATAATATTCTTTGTAACATTTTTTTATATATGTATATTTAGAGCTTAAATTCATTTTTATTTCATTTTATTTTATACTTCAACATATTTCAGTTAGCTGCCTAATGTAACATTTATAAATTTCTAGTTTTAAGGGTATGTTATATTTATACTTTGTCACATTTTTATAATTCTATATAGCTAGGGTTAGGGTTAGGTTACATTTTTATTTCAGTTTTAGTTTAAGTAATTTTAGCACTTCCACTGAATTATTTCAGTTACTTGCCAATAACATTTATAATTTTCCCCCAAACATTTTTTTGAAATATTTACATTTATATATAGCTTGAAATCTGTATTTCAGTTTTAGTAATTAAACTTATTTATTTCAATTAGCAGCCAAGGCAACATTTCTAATTTTCTTTCAAGTTTTTCATCCAATATTTATATTTGATTTCAGCTTTATTTCAATTAGAGAACACGATTTTGAATAGTTTTATTTAACAACACTATCTTCAAAATAACATTTATAATTTCATAGTTTTCTAGGTTTTTTGTTTATAATTTTCTTTGTAACATTTTCTTAATATATTTTTTATAGCTTAAATTCATTTTTATTTCATTTTATTTTATACTTCAACATTTTTCAGTTAGCTGCCAATGTAAGATTTATAATTTTCTAGTTTTAAGGGTATGTTATATTTATATTTTGTCACATTTTTATATTTCTATATAGCTAGGGTTAGGGTTACGTTACATTTTTATTTCAGTTTTAGTTTAAGTAATTTTAGTACTTCCACTGAATTATTTCAGTTACTTGCCAATAACATTTCTAATTTTCCAATTAAATTTTTTTTTTCATCTAATATTTATATATTTTTGAAATATTTACATTTATATATAGCTTGAAATCTGTATTTCAGTTTTAGTAATTAAACAAATTTATTTCAATTAGCTGCCAAGGCAACATTTCTAATTTTCTTTCAAGTTTTTCATCCAATATATTTTATTTCAGCTTTATTTCAATTAGAGAAAACGATTTTGAATAGTTTTATTTAACAACAACAACAACAACACTATCTTCAAAATACCTTCTTTTGCACACAGAAGAGGTTTGAAATGACATGATTGTGAGCAAATGATGCCAGACTTGAACTAACACTTTAACAACATCAAGACCTCCTCAATCCTGGGAATCCCAATGACCTCAAACATCAAAACAAGCAGCGAATGCATCATAAACTCTCTCTCCACAGCACGTCTGCTCTATAAAATGCAGTTTTGCGTTAGAAGCGTTGAATTAAATAGACGTGAGAGAGAGAAACATTCTAATATGAAACCACATGATTACAACACTACTTCCTGTCTGTATGCATAAACCACAGCTGTGATACTTGCTCGAATATTAAAAAAAAACTTTGTGTGCTGTCTAACAAAACCGACACGAATCCTCCTCAGATTATAATAAAACTTAAAAGCAATATCTCGCATACGTTCACCGAATCAATCATGTGTTGTTTATTACATACGGCCTTTTTTTACATGCTTATCATCCAATGTCAGGTCAAATGTCCCACGAGCGAGCATATCAAGCCATCGCTGCTCAACAACGTAACCATCAGGCACCTGACAGCATCTTATTGACAAAACCACTGAATTATATGTTGGCTCTGGGCAGCTTCTCCACTTCCCTTTTCTCAGAGCCTCCTCACCACTCTTCACACTCGTATATCTGTGTGTCTGAAACATCCAGAGACGCTTCAGACGCTTCCGGTGCCAGGGCACTGAACAGCCTTCTGTTATTCCACTTCCCCTTCTGAGCCACAGCGCAGAAACACTGTGACAAGTTCGACTGATATTATCACTGGTGCGATAGCAACTTCTGCATTGTTTTCTGGAAGGATGATGCCGATGGGACCTCGATTTCAGCATTTAACAGGCCGATATTACACGCAAACTGCGGCTTTTCTTCTGACCGTGAATCTGTCACATCCCGGATTGGCGATTGCAATCTTTCTCGTCTCGAAAAACAACATCACAATGTGATAACCCTGTGATATCATCACAAAGGAGTTGGACGCTGAATAGTTATCATCAATGTCTGTGATGTGTGTGTGTGTGTGTTGTGCCATTAGGCTTATCTAGCTCACTTTCATCAGTTTGCAGTCAGTGTATCAGATGAGGGGTTTTACGCTTCAACAGCAATGTGTTGCTATTTCTCTAAACCACTTCCTCAAAGAGCAAAACTTGTTATGGTTACTCATATATACGCCTTATTACTGTCACTCAAATTACTAAAATGACAGAAATAGCTATGGCAAGCCACTTACCACTCAAAAAAAAAAAACTAGTGTCAATTTAACTTTTATTTTGAAATAATTCAGTAGTATCTTTTTCAGTTTCACTAGTTAACCATTCATTAGGCTAATACACTGTTAAAAAATAAAATAAAGATTATCAGAGTATGTTTTACAAGAAAACATTCAGTAGTGACTAGCATCTTTTTCAGTTTCACTAGTGTAAATACTATTTCAATTGTTTTCTACTTGAAAAATGGAATTAATTCATTATTTTACTCGCTGTTTAGTCATAATTGTTTGTGAAATTTACTACACTGTAAAAAATGTAAAGTTATGACACTGTATTTTTTTACATTGCTTTATCTCTTGCAATTTTCAACTTGTTTTTATAAATTATACAAGAGTCGACTCATTTTTAAAGTCAGTTTAATGTAATTTAAGTTGAAATGACTTAAACACCCAATTTGATTGTACTTAAAAAAAGGAAGCAATTTTTATGTTGATCAAAACTTTGTCAAATCAACTTTGTCAACAAGATAATTAATTTGGTTCAGATAACATAATATTTTAAGTTTCTGTTGATTAAACCAATCTCCTTTGTATTAACTCAAAATTTTAAGGCAACCAGGTTGCTTATACTTTAAGTTAAACCAACAATTATTTATTTTTACAGTGTAGAAATTTCTGGGTGAAAATTCTTTATACACTCAATTATTTTCATTGTATAATCTCGCAGTTTTTCTACTAAGATGTTTAATTTAACTAGCCCATATAGCCATTAGGACTAGTCTAAACAAAAAAAACAATAATAATAGTGAGATCAACAACAAAAAACTAACTAGAGTACTAGTGTCTCAGAAATGGTAAATTTTGAAACTAAAACATATATTAGTCACTATTATATCACTTATATGTGCAATGTAAAAAAGTGCTATAAAAATGGCCTAGGTAAATATTAGTTCGTTTTAAGCCATGTCAATAGACATATAGTTATGATAATTCCCAAATCATTTCAAATGTTAAAATGTATTGCCATGTATAAATAAGCAATGATCCCTTCTGCACAGTGTAGATAATATCTTAAATCTATGAATTAGGCATTAAATCTAAAACCTTCTAAAACTGGGATCTGATTTGTTTTAAGGAAAACTGTCACAGTCTAGAAAACCAGTTCACAGACATTCTCACTCTTGTTAAAAACTCATTTAAAAGCATTAAAATGTACCGTAATCATGTTAATATTACACATTAAGTGCATTGAAAGTAATATAACTGCTTACCCATTTTCGAGAAGTGCGTCGTCCACAGACTGTGAGTTCAGGAGCGTGTATTGACGTCTATCTGTCCTTGTTTAACAGTAATTGACAGCTCAGTGTTGAGCACGCGCTTCCACATCAGTGTCACTCGCGAGCTCGCCTCTCATTGGACACTCAGTCACTTCCTCACTCGAGCGCAACAGGAACTCTGGGACTCTGAGTTTTGTTGCACGACTTTTTTTGTTTGTTTAGTTTTTATTTAAATACCACTTCGCTTGAATATTGCAATATGGAACAACACGAGGGTGAGTAATTACTGACAGAATTGTCATTTTGGGGTGAACTATCCATAGCTTACTATACAGTTTTACAAATAAAGCTATATTCAACTCGAAAGTAAATATACATATAGCCTAATGTAGGTATTTTAATTTTTTTAATACATTTTGGAATTGTTATTTTGTAAATAAATTAATAAATCCAATCAAATTTCCTAACGTCTCCCCAATCTGCGTAATCGTCACGTGATCTGGATTTTGGCGCCGCTGATAAACAGATTCAAGAGATGTTTTAAAGCACTAGCAGAGGGTGAGTAATTTTCAATCCATTATTTGCTTAAGAAAAGCCTACTTTAAAATATCGTGTTTGTAATGCATTTTCAACGTGTTCATAGCTAAATTTAGCGCGGCAAAACAGACAGTCATTACAAGTAATAATCCTCACAAAACTTCACGTATTGTGTCATGTGACAGCACGAAGTGTGAATAAGTAGGTTTACTATAGGAAAGCTAAAATATGATTAAAATGGTGACTAACGTTAACCAAAGCGACAGTTTCGACCCCCCCCTTAATTTCAGTTGACGTGGTGGTTCGTTATTTCAGTTGAGCCATGATTTTTTTTTGTCAAAATATTATTAAATAAAATAAATGCCAAAATGATCTAGTGATGCATTTATATACACTATTGAAGAAAGTGGATTACATATAACGTTTAATAAATGAGAAATCTGAAAAAGCTTTGTTTCTAAATGTCCGTACAGGGCCAATAGCTTTATAAACCTGTCATCAGACATATACTGGAAACGCACGAGAAAGGGGTTTTCACCCTGACACTGGTGAAAGTACTGATCTCAGTTTTTCCCCTTTGTATTTATTATGAAAATGATAATCAGGACAGTATTGTGCTACCGAAACCTCAGAAACTGTTAAAGGGGACTAAACTGAATTTTAGCATAACAAGAATCATGCACATCTCTGTCCTGCAAAACAATTATTAAAATAATTAGATAATTCTGCAAAAAAGTTTTTTATGGTGCATTTGTTTTCAGCATCGAGCCACTTATGTCATTTTTGTCAGAATAGTATTAATCCCATGTTTTTATGAGAACTATTATGACTAGATCTAGAGACCTGAACTATTATTAGTTAAAGTATTAGCTATATATAATATTACCCTAGCATTAAATCTATTTTGAAACGCATAAGATCGGATGTATGCCCTATTACCCAAGTTATTGTAGGAAAAGAATGATCTAAATTCTATTATCAATTAATTGGAAATATACACTGTTCAAATGTTTGGGGTCTATGAGATTTATAAGTCTTTTTTTGTTGTTTAATTATTTGTTTATTTGAAAAGGGACAATGTACACTGATCAACATTCAGAACAAATGTAAGCGTACCCGAGTTAGCCACTGGCTAGTTTTCATCGGCAGTCCCCTTGCCAGATGTTATTCGGCATCCTAAAACTGTTATAATGCAATACAATTATTTATACAATAAACAAAAAGTAAAAAATTAGACCGTGTTAAAATCACAAATGATCGAGTAAACACGATGATTGAAAGAAATTCATATTTTTATTCAGCAAAGACGCAGTAAATTGATCAAAAGTGACAGTAAAGAGATTTACAATGTTACAAAAGGTTTCTATTTCAAATAAATGCTGTTCTTTTAGATATTTATTCTCATCAAAGAATTCTGGGGAAAAAATCTGTCACAGTTTCTTAAAAAATATGAAGCAGCACAACTGTTTTCAACATTGATAATAATGAAAATGTTTCTTGAGCATCAAATCATCATATTAGAGTGATTTCTGAAGGATCATGTGACGCTGAAGACTGGAGTAATTCAGCTTTGATCACAGGAATAAATTACTATATCCACATAGAAAACAGTTCTTTTAAATTGGAATAATATTTCACAATATTACCGTTTTTACTGTATTTTTTGATCAAATACATGCAGCCTTTGTTGAGCATTAAATGCTTCTTTCAAAAACATTAACAAATCTTACCAACCACAAACTTTTGAACAGTGGTGTAAGTTTTTCGTTAACTACAAACTAACATTTAGTCTCAAACTAACTGGTCCATATTGAGTGATATCTTGATTAAGGTTATACATTCAAACCTGTTACCATAGTGTTTTTTCATTTTATTGATTCATTTTATTTTATACATTTTATTTGTTTAATGTTCATACTGGAAAATTACAAAACAAGGTTTTAATTTGTATATAGATAGACGTCCCAGATTTCTGTAAGTTACCAAATACAAAATATAATTTATGTAACTTTTTAAAAAAACATTTCATCAAATGAGGAACAGACATGTTATGCAAGACTTTCTGAATTGCAGATTTTCTGCACTCATAGTGACAGGAATTAATACTATTGAATATGAAATTAAATATGTTTTATGGACATGTGACCATTGTCAAAATAATAATAAAAAATTCAGGAGCATCATGTTTTAAAGGGATAGTTCACTTACTCGTAAATTTAAGTACACATTGATGGCCTAAGACACGAAACGAACAGTATTTATATCGTTTTTACCTCTTGTAACCACAGCCACGTCCAAGTGATCTGAGGGCGCGGGCGCGGGCGCTTCGGTCTGTGCGTTACAAGAGGTAAAAACGATATAAATACTGTTCGTTTTCTCACACAAACCGCTCGTTTCGTGTCGCAGGCCATCAATGTGTACTTACATTTACGAGTCATTAAATCATGTTTAATTTGGACTTCTCTGTGCATGCTCTTTGAGGTGGTGACCATAGACCTGCATTATATGACTGACAGACAAGAACGGTTTGACCTAAAAATATCAAAATTGAAACTACTGCGGAAACAAAGACACCTACATCTTGGATGCCCTTGAGGTAAGCTAAAACATATCAAAAATTAATTTCAAAGTGAACTATCCCTTTAAGGATGACGATATATATACAGAGAATGTGGGTAAATGCCCCGCTAAATGCAAAACATCACCATTACAGCCATTTTGTCCTAAATTGACCATGATTATATAGTGCATACGTTTTTATATTGAGCGTGAACTATAAAAAAGAACGCCGGAAAACCCCATCGTGATTTAAGAGAGAAAAAATATGTCTTTGTTTTGAAGCCGTCAGATGTTATGTACCGGCATGATATCTTCGTGCGCTGATGAACTCGTCTTGCTGTCGAAGTTTCGGATGTCTCGTTTATGGATGGGGCCTCTCTCACCTGCCCGCATAGTTCCTGACATTTAAAGCATATTTAACCTTTAAATGTCACAATAACAGTTTTCAGCCCAGAGCCAATCGCTCTGAGGGAGTTTCTCAGGTGAAATATTAGACAAAACATCCGTCCTCCCTGTTACTGGGAGAGAACGCGTCCGCCTCCGTCCTGAGCGCCATGAACCAGTGTGTATCACGACTTTATTGGGGAGGATGAAATTTCTTATGTTGATATCAGGTGAAATGGAAATTAGGGAGTTTATGACTTGTGTTTTCATATTCGATTTGAGAGGTTCTGGTTTTACTCAGTCTGAGATCACACCAGAGTTTCACAACAGCTCAGGTGCTTCTCGAAGCTGCTGTTCTGGATCCGGTGGACACACACGTTTGACGAACTCGCCATCAAATGCACTGATAAAGGATGCAATTATTTCAGCGTGTGCTGTTGATGATATTCTTATGGTGTAAGAAAATGTTGGCTAGAGAAGACTGCAATGTCAAGCATCACTATTATTGTTGCTTGACATTAACTTTTTTCTCAGAAGTCGCTGTGACTAGTGGTTTTCCAAAGTTACAAGCCACTCAGCATTTTCATTGGCCACAATTTTGACATCGATCCCATGGGGAAAAACTGCAATATAGATATTTTTAATATTATCTCATAATTTGTTAGCAGGAATATTAGGCTGCTGTCACTTTAAGACCTGACGCACGGATCCATTATACTGTTACACATGCGTTTCTTTCTCAACTGTTTATGTTTACTTAAAACTGACGGTGTTTACGTGAATACTCGTCAAGATCTGCATTTTGACATTATTTTGTGTGTAATTGACTGTTTAAGAGCAATAAGCAGCGAAAAAGAACTCAGTTTAGTCCTGAGAAGCGGCTTTATGTGCCGCATTTTGGGTGTGAGCACAACATCTGCGGGAATGAGTAAAATTATACACAATACTCGCAATCCCACGGCGAAACACAAGCTCTGTAACACCAGCAATATTCAGCCGGGCCTGGAGCTTATTAAAGGAGTGAGTGAGGAGAGGCGGGTTTGTGTGTCACTCGCTGCCAGAGAGAGAGAGAGAGAGAGAGAGAGATATATGTTTATATATTACTACTGCTTTGGCAATATTGTGCTATTTTAGAGTCATGCCAATAAAGCTCAATTGAATTGAATTGAATTGAATTGAATTGAATTCAGAGAGAGAGAGAGAGAGTAGTGTGTCTATTCTGCAGAAAATGAGTATTGGACACGTCTCAGATATTTCAGTATCGATATGTATTGAAAAATCGATATTTTTGACAACACTACATTGCACTAAGTTTACTATTTCAGATGCCTTTTTAAAAGACTACAGATTAAATATGTATATATTACAGGGTTTTTCCTGGCTCAAAACTAGGCGGAGGCAGTAAAATCCTGATCATCTATTTTAATAATAAGATCATTTAATTTGTATTTTTCGTAGACCATCATATAGCCTAATGTGTTTCCCACAGCATATTTGTGGGAGGAGCTCGGTACCTCTAGGGGGGTCCCTAAAATTATATATTTTTTTAAAACATTTTAAAGATAAATTAATTAATCTTGTGCACTTTGAGTCACCCGAATCCGCTGTTAAAAATAATCCACCCGCC